GAGAGAGAGAGAGAGAGAGTGAGAGAGAGAGTGAGAGAGAGAGAGAGCGAGAGGGAGGGAGAGACAGACGCACGGACAGTAGGGGGGAGAGAGAGAGAGAGAGAGAGAGAGAGAGAGACGGGCACGCCTTTATCCACTGCAGAGCGAGCTCTCCTACGCAAACACACGCACCTTGAAGCACGAGCGCAAGCGTGTGCGCGACGAAGACGCACGCATCCGAGGGCAACCGCTGTCTACGCGCGGGAACCCAACAAAAGGGCATACTGAAATATTACTAGTACAAACTCCGGATCTGGCTGTCCGGGACTGCCTCCTTACTTGATACGGGGACTGCCTCCTTGCTTGATAACGGGATCATATTCGAGAAAAGAAGTCCCAGATCTGCAATCGTCAGAACTAAAAGACTCTCGCAGAGCAGGCAATAGACATAACTAATCGAGATCCACAGCAAAGCCATCGGTTTGATCTGCCTAGCCAACACTACAGAATGTAACAATGTTTTCCTAATTTCCACTGATTTGCGCAGTCACGTTGCCCCTTCTAGAATGAGCATTCAGCTCCGCAATGTCATTCCCAGCAGTTCATCGCACAGTCCTCTTAACTTACAAGTGGGAACGACAATGCTGATACTCGTTGCACACACCCAAACGTTGACATCAGCCGCTCTTAAGCGAAAGATCAATGACATGTTTTTCAGTCCAGTTATGGCACCCTCTATCCTCTATGCAAAGAGAGCACTGGCTCGTCGCCTGCAGTCCTCGATCTAAAAGAGCTCACTAGAAAATTAGCGACCACTATGAGGTGACAAGTCCATCTCTCGCAGTCACATGTTCCCGCGCCTTTCATCCGCGAAGAGTGAGTGGGAGGTAATTTCCCGCCAAATGTACGCCTTGTATAGAGTTTGCCGGCGCTTCTCCGCTGCGTCCTCCACTCAAAATCCCATTTTCCCGCCTTCTCTACCCCTTAATCCAGTATACAACCCGCGATGAGTGAGTGGGAGGTAATTTCCCGCCAAATCTATGCCTTGTATACAGTTTGCCGGCTATTCTCCGCTGCGTCCTCTCCATTCCAAATCCCATTTTCCCGCCTTCTGTACCCCTTAATCCAGTGAATCAACCCCCGAAGAGTGAGGGGGAGGTAGCTTCATTGTCTTATTCCAAAAAATCCAGAACCCGAGACACTGTCAGTCTGTCACCGCCTGAAAAGACTGTACATGCCGACCAGCTCCGTCCTGCAAATTCTGTACTCCCTTCAAGTACTGGCGTAGCACGTGCCATTGCATCTATTCAGAAAAAAACATGTCAGGAAGACAGTTCTTCCAGAGCGGAGACTACCGATAGGAGATGTACCAAACACAGAATTTCTTCGCCATCCGAATGCAGTCACAGAGGACGATTAAGAGACAGAAATTCTTCTACAGACAGATCATTAATGTTGTCGTGGCCTACATGTGCCTACCTTATCGTCATCCCCGCTTCTTGGAGGATGAACTGGATACATATTTTCAACAGGAGGTCTTTCGGCTGGCCCATACGCCCTAATGATGGAATTACCTTACATACAAAAAATATCTCTGCCGTTTGGACAGAGGACACTTCGAGGGGAATCATTATCTGTGGAAAGGCAGTAGCCACGATGATGGATTAGCCAAGAATACTCTACAGTTTTCTACCCTTTGGACAGAACAGACCTTGAGGGCCACCATACTCGAGATGCACGAGGAATTCTAGGCAAATAACATGCTCCTCTGGGTATTATCTCGAAGCGCCCGCCGTCGGATGGGCTCTTTCTACCAATTATCCCAAAAAACACGCCATCGGATAGCAAGAAACCGCACACCCACCCGCCCGCCCACCCACAAAACCCCAACACACCCACACACACCAACACACACACATACCAACACACCCACACACACGCACGCACACACACGCAGGCACACTCACCAACACACCCACACACACGCACACACCCACACACACGCACACAGAGCGCCACTGAACGAGAGAACGCGCCCATGGGCCGGGTGGTGGTGGGCGTAGATGCGGGGGATTATCTCGAAGTGTGCTGTGAAAAGGCGCAAGTGTAAGGGATGGCAGTAGCAAGGAGCAGTCGGAGGACAACTGGAACCGAGATGTCATTCGATATCCATCTCCTTGTGCTGAAGCAGGTTTTACAGGCCAAGCTGCTTCAGGTCAAGGAGAAGTTTGTGGTATTCATTGACGGTCTGGACACGACTCTCAAGGCGGAGCGACTCGAGAACTTCATTAATTCTGTTCATTGCCGACTCTCGCGGAGGCGGGGTGCTTCCCCTCATCCTCCACGCCGCTTGTTGTAAATGGCGCCGTGCATTGAAAGCCGCCTTGATCGCCGCATCGTCAATATCCGACGGTGGAGGACGAAACATGCTGTGAGCGCTCTCCTTGTCGAACGTGCCCACGAAGGACGCCATCGCTGTCTTTCCCGGCTTGCTATGATTTCCAGTTGCTTCAGCCGAAACCTCAACGATGCCGTCCCGATCCACTGAGATGATGACACGTGTCACCGGCGTGCCGTCCGCAAGCGATGGCTTGAATCCCGTCAGCTTGAGCTCGCCCAAATGTCGATTATGGCTACACAACGCGTGCTCGCCTTCGTACATCGTGAAGCGCATGCTCGTCTGGTAGTCGTGCGACAACAAGAACATCTTCTCCGCTTTGGCGGGAAGAGGCGTGTTCTTGGCGATCAAAACGCCTAGCTCGTCCGACGCGAGTTCGACGCCTATGCTGAACGGTGTCACGTCGATGACGTGCATCGGCATGTCCGGGAGCTCCAGCTTGCTGTGAGGGGGGACGCTCTGACTGAGGATCGATGCGTAAACCGCCGCCCCATATGCCACAACTTCGTCGGGATGCACCGTCATCACGGGGGCTTTTCCAAAATACCGCGCCAGCAGCTCCCTCACCTTGGGAATCCGAGTCGATCCTCCCGCCAAGACAACCTCGGCGATATCCGCCTTCCTCATTTTCGCGTTATCGAGTGCCTTCTCGACAACATGCATACACGTGGAGAAGAGATCTTCGTTCAGCTGCTCGAACGTAACCCTCTCTAACGGCATGCGGAGCTCTCCGCTGGGGCGGTACAAACAGATGTCCGTGTCTTCGTCCGCGGAAAGAATGTGCTTCCTGTTTGCAGCCAGCGCTTTGAGACCCGCCAGCGCCTTCTTGTCCTGAAGGATATCGTGCTGGTTCTTCTCCTTAAACGCCTTCGTCACATGCTGTATTATCCTGTTGTCGAAATCGGCACCCCCTAGGTGCTGATCCCCCTCTACCATATTCACTTGGCAGTCATACCAGTCGTCCTCCCTACGCTTCATCGTGATAATAGACACATCGAGGGTTCCCCCGCCCAGATCGAAGACCATTATCTTCTTCCCGTCGCATCGGAAGCCTAATTTTCGTTGATGCCAGTACGCCATAGCCGCCGCCGTCGGTTCGCTCACCAGTCGCAGGACATGGAGACCGGCGCGCTGTCCTGCCGCCCTCGTCGCTTGCCGCTGACTGTCGTTGAAATAGGCGGGAACCGTGATGACCGCATCCTTGATTTCCACGCCGCCGCCGCCAACGTAATCCTGGGCAATCCGCTTCATCTCCTTCAGCAAGATGGCAGACGCCTCCTCCGGCTCAATCACCCGACCACTGGGAAGCTGGATGAGTACTCCATTGCGCGGACCCGACACTAGCGTGAACGGCCACATCTTGCTCTTCTCCTGAACGCGTGGGTCCAGGAAGGACCGCCCCATCAGCCGCTTAATCTCGTACACGCAATCCTCCGGTGAGCTCAACCCGTGCTGCCTCGCAGTTTCCCCGACAAGAACTCCCGTTGGAGGGAAGGCAACGTACGATGGAACGGTTCGCTGACCTTGACTGGACGGAACGACCTCGACGCCATTCTTCGTGCAGACTGCCACAGCGCAGAACGAGGTCCCCAGATCAATCCCCAGGACTGGGCCACTCTTGTTCCCCTCTCCTCTCTGCTTGCTGTCTTCCATAGCTCCTACCACGATAGGAGCCTCATGTGAGCTAGCCGGAGCTGCCGGGCATGCCGGCGCCTCTCTCTCTCTCTCTCTCTCTCTCTCTCTCTCTCAGATGATGTTTGTGCGAGCGTCCGTACAAAGGGAAAGATCTCTCTCTCTCTCTCTCTCTCTCTCTCTCTCTCTCTCTCTCTCTCTCTCTCTCTCTCTCTCT